CTCTACACGTCCTGATGGACGTTCTAGAATAAAGGGAATGTATCGTTCGCGCATCCTTGGTGCAAAAGGTGCGGGAGGGAAACGAACGATGGCCCGTTGCGAGCCGTGAGATCTGAAAACCAATTGCTGCCTTTGTCAGGTGGCCGATGCAACTAGATATGGAAATGGACTTCGTCGTAGATTCTTCTGCATTCGATTTACGGACGTATCTCGCATAATATCGAATTCAATCTTCGCGTATGTATCTAAATACACGTGGTGGGTATACGTTTCATTAGATCGGTATTGGCGTTGCAATTAGGCGTTTCGAGGTGGCGTTTGTTGGAATTCATTGGAACGAACTCGATGAAAATTCGCGGGTCAATTTGACGCGAGAAAGAAGATCGTGAATTTTTCATTAGTTTCATATTTTCGGTATGGATCTTCAATCTTGAATTCATGTGTGCGTGCGTGTGCGAGAGGGTGAGAGCAAATTGGAATTTCCTTTCCTGTATCTTGTTATTCATTTAACGTTCTTTTACTCTAATATTCTTCTTCTTTTCTGTTTTTTAAATTGTTCATACGATATTTATTAACGGAATAGTCGTATGTTTAATATAGTCGTATATTCTTTAATATAAATTTCAATATGTATCACATATGATAATTTTTTAACACATATATATTACTGTAATTATATACAATTATTTATTTAATATTATAACATTAAATAAATAAATTGTAAATTTATTTATGATATATGTAATATATATATACGTATATATTATATTATTTAATATATTATTTAATAATATATTATAATATATATAATATATATATACGTATCTATTAAATAATATATTATAATATATATTATATATATATATACGTATGTATTAAATAATATATTATAATATATATAATGTATGTATATACGTATGTATTATTATATATTATATAGTACGTATGTATTAAATAATATATTACGCATGTATAACTTTCCTCGAAACATTATGCATTTGATTAGAATAATTATTTCTAGTAAAAATTATGCATTTGATTAGAATAATTATTTCTAGTAAAAATTCAAAAGATCCTAACCTTTCTAACATTAATATTCAAAAATTTATGAAATGCTGAAAAAAATCGTACAAGTTTTTACTGTAAATAGGGTATCAATCTTCAAAATCATGACGAATTTAGTCATGAAAGAAATTTTTCAACCTTTTTAGAGTCTGAACTTTATATAATCGTTCCAGTTTTTATATTGTTACATAATTCTCTCACAAAGTTACAATAATTTAAAGAACAATAATTTATAGTTTTAAACTATTAAAAAATAATTTTTCATCATTTCATTATTAATTCAATTGTATTCCTCACTATATTTAGTGCATATTTAACAGTTTCATCTTTAGAACTCAAATTCAGAAAAAAATTGACCCCCTTTTTGTTAAAGAGCAATTCTTTCTCTCTGTTCATTCTTTTCCTTCAAATTATAAAATTTTACAACCTATATGGTCTAATAACTCTTCAGAAACTTGTTTATTAAAAATTATCGAGGAAAATGAGCTCTGAAAGAGATCTTTTTCATAAATTGAAAAATTATTTATACGTAACAGAAAGTAGCTGTAACCTACCTCACTCATTGTTAGAAACTCGAGAAGACGAAACTTTTATAATTCAAAGATATTTTTTTCCCTCCCTTCTTTTTCTCTAGAGATTCAAGTTTCGACTGTGTTTCAAATACCAATTTAGTGAAATAGTATAATATTAAGCCATTATATCCAGGCATAATGGCGAACATGTTTTGAATAATAAAAGTGTAGTTCGCTAAGGACACACTGGAGACATATCGTATTAAAGATTGTTGGCACTATTGGGAAATTGCGAACATGGAACTTTTACAATATTATCTTCCGTATGTTGCGAATAACAAATTTGTTGTTTGAAAATGTTAAACGAATATTCAACTCATTTCAGCTCATTATGAAATTACCAATTTATTCTGACATATATAATTTCAAATTTTATAACCTAATGTAAAATAACGCAAGATAGTACAATTATAATTAAATTTTTATTTGTATTGTATAAAATTTGAATTATATTGTATATATTTTTGCCACTATAATACTTATGTTCCTCATTATATTATAGTCGAACATTTGTAAGGAACGTGCAAGTAAAAAAAATTGCACAGAATGCACATAATGTGAAAAAAGAAGTGTAAGGAATATCCAAAATATAGTATACAGCTTCCCATAATTTTTGGTATACAGGTCAGTTCTGTTTTTTTAATTCTAGTCCCGAAATTGTGGATTCGCGCAATAGTTCACAGTTGAAACTCATCTATGGTAAAATTCATTGTTATGGCAGAGCGTAAATATCGTTCGTTTCATTCTTCTCTCCTATGCCATCTCATTTTTGCGATAAAAGTCCAAAATCCAGGCTCTCGTGGTGTTATAGTTCTTTGTTCAATCAAGCATCGCTTCGTTGATCCTCCTGGTAATTAATCCAACGTCCGCACCTTATAGCCAAAGCAAAGAAGTTCCATCAATGTGCGCCAGTGAGCGATATATAAGCAATTAATTTCACAATCACGTAACAGGTAGAGAAAGGTTTCATTGAGTGATGCTTCAAAAAATATAGACTATGGTTCTCACGTCTGCGCGCGTTTTCAATGGAACATCCCGAATGAAACTTCCCGAGGCTTTTCATTTTCGTACAGGGGCTACTTAGACGCGCTGTTGAATTTTTAATTAACCTAGTTCACCATGCAGACAACCAGACGCCCTCATTGTTGCAACGTTAATTTAGAATATCCTAACGAGATTGCGAGATCGCCCACCTAAGATTATTGTTTGACATGAAATTTGGGATGAAAAACGCGTTATTGCAACCGGTACGGAAAGGTCGGGGTTAAATTTACACTGCCTGTTATTAATGAAGCCAAATGGAAGCGACTTTTATTGATATTTGAACACCAAGAGAGGTGTTTGTTTATAAGAGTCTGATTGAATCGATTGTTTCGATACATACATATATAGAATGTATCTGTAGATAGATACGTATCATTTAGAGTCAATTATTTCTGATATATTAGAATAGTTCTCTTAATTGAAGTATCAATTTTATTTATGAATAACATAATGACGAGCTTTTTGGGTGGCAAGTAGCTATATGCAGAGTATATTAAATGCATATAGTAATATATAAAAATATATATAATAGTAATATATAAAATATATATAAGTATATATAATAGTAATATATAAAATATATATATAAATATATATAATATAGTAATATATAAAAATATATTAAATATAGGAACTACAGAGCTTCTTGTAATATTTCATAGTGAAGACAAATTTCTATTTTCCACCATTTCTTTATTAATTGCAGTCATAAAATATGTAACTGCATTCGTTAAAATTTTGTAAATGTGAAATTGCATTCATAAAAATATGAAATTGCATAAAGATTCGTAAATGTACTTTCACCGTAACAGTCGATAAAAATCATTTTTGAATGCTTATAACTTTTCAATAACGCATTTCCGATAAACGTGAATTTATATGAGCTTCCCTCGTTCGTATAATATAAATTATCAAATTTTATTGTAAATTGATATTTATTATATTACACATTTATTATACGGTGGTCTTCTTATTAACGGAAGTCTTAAAATTTAATTTTATCATATTTTATAAAATAAATTTGAATATTTTTCAAGCACAAGTTCTTTTCTAAAAGGAAACCTTAAACAGTAAGATTTTGTACTTTGAACGAAAAAATTTTACTCCATACATTTTTTTTATTCTTTTCAAAGAAATCACCTTGTGCCTGTTCGTTTATACATAATTTTTGACCGCATATACATATGTATACATACGTGTACAGTGTATATGCAAAATACGTTCTATATTAAACACTGCTGTACAATGCACAGAATAGAACATTTTTCTATTTATTTTTCGCTCGCTCCTATTTTTTGTTCATTTACATTCTCTGAAAAACATTTTTTAGATTTGACAGTATCAATTATTATAAATAAAAAAAATAACAAAGTAACATAAAAATAGCATAAAAATAACAAAGTAACCGAAGAAAAATGTGTATGGATTAAGCATGACTTATATGGATTACATTTAAATAAAAATAGACTGCTTGTATTAACATCCTCTTGGGGAAAACAATTATTAAATTACTAAGGAATTTTTCAGTTTCGAAGAAAATTCTGCCGTAAACACACAGTTCTTGATTACATTCGAGTTAGAGGATTTTGTAAAGTAAAGTCGAAATACAAGGAACCTTTTAATTTAAATTAAAATTCCCCAAAAAATATCGTGGCATACTCTTTGATATACAAAATAATATCGCTATAGCTATTGTCTGTGCGTGGCTGTTTCACCTTTCAAAGGTAATTTTTTCAATTTTTTTCACTAGCAAGATTTCTTTTTAAAATAGAGATTTTCAGTCAACCTACGACTTTTCAATCAACCTTATCAATTATGAACGACTATTAATTTTTTTTTTAACGCTCAAATAGTGTCGTTCAGTTACAAATGATTACAATAGTTTATATTAAATCAATAAAATTTAATATTCAATGTTATTTTGCGTTCTTCATAGTAGGGATTAATAATCAAATTGAATTAAACAAAAATCCTGAAGCTAAATAATTTAATATTTATAATAGTTAGATATAATTTAAGCCTTAGTATGCAACGTTTTATTAAAAATTTGTGCAATTGTTCTTAATTGTAATTAAATTGTTCTGTTGTTTCCCAATAGCCTAATGATTTAAAATTGTTCTTCAGGGTAACGTCGATTTTAAAATTTGGGACAAACGAATTACATATACTGTAATTACGAAAACGTAGATTGAATGAATTCACAAACTTTCATTCCCTGGAAACAATCAGTATCTTAAACTTAACGCACGTTCAATACACAGATCAACAGAATTAAAAAATATTCTGCATTATATATATTAATTGTAAAATTTGTTACAGGTTCTTGTTTGAGCTATGGACATTCGTGCTGGGGAGGTATGCTTAGATAATTGCAAAAACACTTTCACTAGAATAAATGAACTTTGTCTCTTTTAACTGTTAATAATTCACACAATAGCATAGAAAATTTCATTCTCTGGAAACGATCTATATTTCACTTAGATAGATGAATAAAATTAATATTGCAAGTTAATAAGTAAGTACACAGAATTTCCTTTTGTGTTCATAATACAACGACCTACATAAAGTAAAATATTTCTTATAACGAAGTTAGTTTACCTAAAAGTAAAGGAGAAGTTGTGAAATTTGATGTTAATTATAATATTATGTAGATTGTGTAGATTAAAGTGTTAATACATCTAAAAGTAATAAAATTCCTTTGCTTATATTGATCATAAAGGTAAAATTATAAAAGACGTACATTATAGTTGTGTCAACAATATTAATTATTCACTTTATTTATCATATATATCTATTATACTTATTAATATTATTACAAGATTGGAATTAAAATAATTCAACATTATTTCAAAATGATATTAAATAATGAAATATATGCACTGAATTAACTGAATAATTAATATCGTTATTAATAACATTTTGCAATAGTAAAGGTCTAATATTGTAATAATTTTAATAATTGTTACGAACAATTTATAATATTCGTGCGGTAATTAATGTTAATTCATCGTGCAATCAATAATTCGTCAATTCTGACTGAATGCTAATTTTAAACTGTACCGTTTAAATGAACTGTCACGCCATTTAACATAATCTCATCGTTTACAGGTCATGGTAAACGTAGCGCAGTGCATAACAATGCATATCTAGTCCCACCAAAAACGCTGAATGAAATCCAACAGGGCGTACCGTCGCTCGCGAAAGACCAATTCGTACTTTCCCGTTTAATTGGTCGGCCATTGATATCGAACAAATACAAGGGAAGATGGAACAGGTTTTTCAAAATCAGGGCCGGTTTCCCAGAGAATTGGGACAGCGACGACTTTAACGCACATCTTCTCAGCAATGAGCCCATTCGGTAAGAAAAAAATATGCAAAGAAATACGACTCATTATCAGATTGCTGATTTCTATGAATACAATTATAATAAACTAGTTATTTTGACAAAAGTAAATCGTATGTTAATGAAAATTCATCGAAAGTTTGTAAATTAATTGTAGATTTTAAGAAATGTGCTTTCTACAAGAGTTGCCAATAATTATTTCACTTACTAAATTTTTCAATGAGTATATTATATTATATGATTTATTAGTTACATTAATTATGTGCATAATATTAATGCATATTATAATATTATACTTAATATTATAATTAATAATAAAATATAAAATTATAATTATATAATATTATAATATTATATTTAACCGATCGAAGACCAAGTTTATAAATACTGCAATTTTTTGATATTTCCATATGAAGTTGCAGAATTTTAGAAAAGTAATTTTAATGGACAAATCCGATAATTTAAATGAGGCGTCGCGATAACGCAACGCAGAAATCCGCAGCCTGTTCATTGTCAACTTATTTTACTTCTATGTGATAATTATATCTAATATTCATCACTTTCATAATATAAAGTTAAATTGAAAAATTTTAATAGTAGAAATTAAATTGAATTGAATTGAATAATTGAATTGAAAGCAGTGAAAATATAAATTTTCATACAAATAGTTTCATCAAAGATTCTCTTGTTATCCTGTATATATTAATCATAATGGATAATGTAATTGTAATATACATATAAGCTGAAGATTACCGGCAAGTAGGGTAAATTACAGTTATTGTAACATGCAAAGCATTAAAATTGTTATTTTTAACTTGGCACTTTTTACGACCTATCTTACTGGTATAATGATTACAGGGATCAAAATAATAACGAAGATCTGACCCAGGGTAAAAGGAAACATAGCAACAACGTGCAGGACATGACGGGAAATATCAACGACGAGGGAAAGGAAATTCCGGAAATACTACTGATATCGAATAACGAGGACAATCAACATGGCAGGAAACCACAGAACGTAGACCTGTTCAAATTTCTGGTGAATTGATACGCTATTATGTATCTCTGTAATATGCAGAATGTCCTGCATATCGTCAACAATTGACTAGGGAATGATTCCACACGCGATAACGAAAAGAAGAAATAGACTTTTTTTCATTTAAAAATTTATTTTTTGAGAAAATCAAAATTGAAAATTTATTAAGCACATCTTTCGAAAAGTCGTATGTGTGCAAGGTAATAATTTTCGTTTTTCTTGAGTTACGAATGTTACTAATTCCATCTCACAATTCAAGAATGTATTGATGAATAAGAACTATTATGAATTCAATAATTTTTCATGTGTTTCTTGAATATCGCAAGAATTTCCTGAGAATTTAAAATTGGTCAGATATTACATATTACATTTAAAAAATGACACTTGTATCTCGAGAATCCTGTATAATCAATTAAAAATGTGAAAAATGTAGAACAAAATTTTTCTGTCATCGAGAAAACTAAATTTAAACTAGTTGAACAATTTTCAAACTTGATTTTCTCAGAAAATAAATCTTTTATTCTTTCTTTTCGAGCATCTATTTTGCGAGCATAATCCCTCGATATGCAGGACATCTAATAAACACAATTATAATATAAAACTCCCATAATTACAATATAAGATTATACGCACTATATATATTATATTATATTATATATAAATATCATTTTTTAATTTCAGAGTGACACGAATGCTGATTTCGAATAAAAGAACCGAACATTACTATAAAACATAATGTAAATTATAAATTGTCACAGCTGTATTCTAACTGAACTAATAAGAGTATCGTTTAAATTTAATTTATTAGAAATTCTGTTTCTCGGAAAAAGATTAACTGACTGTCGATTATTTAGTTGAAGATACAAACCTGAATTTTATCTTCTAAAGAAGTATCAAAACCATCAACACAATATAAGCAAGAATAATTTTCTTTGTTGCTCAACAATAAATAAATATCTCAATTCAAACTGCAATAGAACGAACAAATAAATGTTTCCAGGTTTGAATCAAGAACAATTTTAGAACATCTCGAATACTCCGTAATAATTAATACTCTTATTATTACATTAAGGTTTCAGTTACACCAACACTTTGTAATAATTTTAATTTAACGTTGGTATCAAATACAATGTTTGTAAGAAGTAGAAATAACAATAAATCGAATAAATGGTGATAATAAACCTGTTTGTTTCGTAATATTTTTCTTTCTGGTTATTGTAAAATAATAACACTAAACTCTAGGTATGAAGTACGAGAAGCTAGAAAAATAACAAAACGAATAAACAAAATTGATAATTCCTTCCATTAATTACAAACTTATATTGATTAATTGATTGTGACAGTAACCACATTCATTTGTCATTACATTTTTCCCAAAATAGTTTAACAATTTAACACATTAGGATATTAATTACGAAACAGTCTGTTATACGAACTTCGTGTTGGAATTGGTGACAAATTAATTCGAAATAAATGTTTGTAACAGTACACTGGGTAAAAGAATAATTATTATAAATGAATCATTTGATATTGGTACAATTCTTTTATATTTTCCAGCAAAACGATATCAGCATATTCTACGAATAAAAATAAAAGATGAATATTATGTAAAGATAAGCTCAAAAATATATGATAAAAAACATAATTAATTAATTAATATAATACAAACTTAGATGTTAATAATTTGAATAATGTTAAATTGATAAAATAATTAAAAATTTTTGAAAAATCATTATATTAGAACATAAAAGAAGCAAATTTACACATTATTAAATTTTCTTTCATTATAATTGCATTCAGTACAAATAATATTATCCCTATATAATGATATAAAAATAATATGTATACTATTATAATTATAAATACATATATATATATATTTATATTTATATATATACATATTTATTATTATGCTACATCGAATGAAAACCAATTTATTGTTGAATTAGAAATATGCTAGCATTGTTTCGTCAAGAAAACAGTATAATATTATACAAATCAGAATAATAAATAACAAGTGAACAAAATAAAATTTTCAAAATATAAAACATGTAAACTCTAAATTACATAGTATCATCGAATGTTAACATAATTTTAATGTGGACCTATGTTAACATAATTTTGATATGGACCGAATGTTAACATAATTTTAATATGGACCTGTGTTATAGTCGCATCTAAGTTTAAATATTACGTCGCTTAATTATTCTAAACGAATTTAAATAATAGATTATTTGTTTGATGAATTTATATAACAAATATTAAACTAAACATGAAACTATTAAACTCATTGGAACAGCAACGACTATTGAACTGAAATTGAAAGTCTACTTAAGTGTTACATGAAATAGCATATTATATTTCACATCGTATTAAAATTCGTTAAAATAAGGTAAACAAGTATTTTAAGGAATAACATTTTATTCGTTCTACTTTATGCTTACATACAATTCAGATACAGCATTAACAATTGTACTTGCTTCATCGTTGAAACAAAGATCCGCGAATACATAACTACACAGAAATAATCAAGTACAATAGTTTCTATTTATTACTTTACTTCGACACAAAAGGAAACTGAAATATACATGCTACGCTATTAAATAGAATTGCCCCTACAGAGTCTGAGAGTAACGTAACAAAGAATTATAAAAATTCTAATAAAACAACGACCGAGGTACTTCATGAAAATATCTTTATTCGTCGATTTCACATATTTTTGTGTTCTAATATTCTTCAAATTCTTCGTTTCGAATTCAACGTGAAACAGAAACGCTTCTCCGTTTATTTGTTATTAAGCTCCACGTCCGGCTGATGAAGGCGATGATGCGACGTCAACTGCAATTATTAATCGTATCGTTAGCCTAATCGACTACTTGAGTTTCACTTAAAGGGCAAAAACGAATGAACGACTCTTTTGTAACACCGGTCTAGCAATTTACTTTCTAATGAGTTTATCCTTTTGCTTGATTTATGTAATACACAAATAAATAACGTGGTAGTCAGTTCTAATTTGGATATTTTGTTATTCACTCGTTATTATTTCAATAGGACATTGGCATTACGTGTTGTAGATTATGTTATTATGTAAAATTATTAACGGTAATTATAATGCCAATTGCATATTAAACAATGAAGGAAATACGTTATCAACGCGTTGTAGAGTAATAGATTTTCGGATAATGAGGGTTTTACTGTAGTAGAATGTATTACGGAATTGCTTATTGTATTACGTTATTAATTGATATCGTGAAATCTTTCGCGTACTTCGTTTCAGTATATTTTTCAATTTTTTCGGTAACCGATCGTCATTTGCTTGTAGATTCTATTACATATTTATATATCATTATTATTATAAACATATATTAATAATTATAATAATAAATACATATTGTTATAGATATTTCCGGAATTGTGAAAATAAGATGAATATCTCTCGTCGACAAAAGGAATTTTCACATTTGTTCGAGATTATTAGATTCTACTGGGAACCGTAGCAATTCAATTCTAGAATTTTCAATTTTATTCAATTTTACTTCTAATTTCTATCACAAAACAAAAATGTACAACGCAAAACAGAACAAAACTAAAAATTTAATTAAAAAAAAAGCCACTCTAATTTTAGTGATTTAGTGATTTAAAAATAAATTGCCACAGTCATCTGTCACTTGACGATACTTGTTATTTGAGGATTAAATAATGTAAATAATATTATAAGTAAGTAAGTGAAATTATAAAATAATAATGTTATAAATAAGTGAATAAAATTATAAAATGAAACACACGCTTCCATTGCAGTATAATATTTCATAAAAATTAAATATTCCAACTCACAGTGGCGAAACGTGTAATGATCAATCGTGTTAAATTTGTTATTCATATTCGCTAACTTCGTTCGGACGAAGAGCTTTTAAAATTAAAAGAAGAAAAATAATTGCTGCGAACGGAAATAACAATGAGGTCTAGGTAAGCGCTTGATACCTTGATCTAATCCCAAATCTAATTAGCATACAAGACCGGTACGGGCCGGCGTGCTAGTTACAAAAGAAAGTGTCGAAGAACTTTTTAATGAGGCCTTGTATAACGATAGAACTTGAAATACTTAAGTTGCTGATAGGTGGAAGTATAGGTGTATAGTTTTGCAAGAGGAGACCTCGAGATGAAACGTTGAATCTTTAACGAAGATTTCCGCGCCTCGACGGTGCTTGCAATGCCACAGTTATTAATGATTCTATTTCTGTTATTATTAATCATTTCAACGGATAGTCAATAACAGATTAAGACACTCTAATGTATTGAACAAACGAGTTAAATAAAATTACATTTATTATTGCACGAGAGAAGTTGCGTTAGTTAAAAAAAATACTTGTTGAACAAAATTATGTTGTTTCTTTTACAACCATAGTCAGCTTTCAAGATAATGGAACTCGCGCGAAACATCTCCTTGCAAGTGGCCATATGATGAATATTAGGTATGTGTGAATTTGTAGGAAGATATTATAATCTGTATTATTGAAAATGAAATATTTCCGTTTTTCTATCCTGTGGATTCCTGTCTTTTTCTTTTTTTTTTTTTTATTGTTATTGTATAAGCCTCTTAATAAGTCTTAGTTGTTAATGAAAATGAAAAAACATGAAGAATATAAATTTCTATTTTAAAAAATGCCAATAATCTTGAAATCTCAGGAAAAATGAAATTATGAAGAAAGTTATTTCTTTGAAGCAGTGCAACTTTATCCCAGAGATTGATTTCGTCTAACATTGGATAAAGCGAATGTTCAAGCGATTTCATTTGGCCATTAAGTAATCGTAATTCCATCACGCGTTCGGGCCTCGATAAAGTTCATTTCTCATCGGGCGAGCTCGCCTGATGTAACGGACACCTCTATTCATTCGTTTTTTTTCTTTTTTCATTTTCCATGAAATCAAATATTTGTATACCCATTGTCGAACGATGAAGGATAGCATGAAAGGGTCGAATCTCGTGGAATCCTGTCTACGTGTCTGAGTAAAAGGTGTCTCCTCTTGACCCTCGAACTTTTTCTCCGGAATGACGAACTCGTTGGGCAAACGCAGTGCTTCCATTTCTTCGTGTTTGTCGCTGGTAACCGTGTCCACTTGATTCTCTTGGAGCACGTTTCCCCGTGCATGTGGATCGAACCTTTTACCGTGGCCACCGAAGCAGGAGTGTCCAAACGCGGAGCAACCACCTGTCGAGAAAGAAACGAAGTTAGTTTTAAGTTGTAAAACTTAATATACAGTCAATCACGAAAGTCTCTGTACGCTTAACACTCGTACATCTAGAGAAATGAAGTTATTTTTATATTTATAAAATTTAATATACTTGGTTGTCTCTATACTGTTGTATGGTCTCCAATGTTCAATAGTAGTTGATCGTATATTGTATTGTGCATATTAGTTGTATATAATTATTGTATATAACTGTATATTATTTTATATATTGTTTATGCAGTAATATATCATATATTATTATGTATTAATACGATATGTATAATAATAATTATGTATTAATATATTAAAATAATATATTAATACATAATAATAATAATAATAATAATAATATATTAAAATAATATATAAATATAAAAAATTTTAATATACTAAAATAATATATTAAATAATATATTATTATATATACTGTATATATAATTTATTAATGAGTTATCATGTATTAGTACAATATTAATACAATACATATACAATATAATACGTCATTGTATGTACAGTTGTATACAGTAATATATAGTTATAAATAAAAAGTCAGAAACGTTGCACATGAAAGTATTCGAACATTCACTATAAAACAATTGACACCTTAAACATAAAATTAGATGATTACTGTGATTATACTGACAAACTTTGTAACTAATTTGAAAATATTGTACATAAAAGTTATAAGATATTCGTTACAAATATACATTTAATAAAAGAAATTAGTATATAATGAATAGCCAATCTTCAAATTTTACAATATGTAATGAATGTTAAGGATTAAATTAAATTACTATTAAATGTTATAAATCAAGTAAAATTATATTAAATACCCCGAAAATAAATAATTTAAAATTCCATGTTATTATGGTCTCCAATATGTTCAATAATAGCAGTTAAGAGTTAAATATGTACGATCATTCAAATTTTAATTAAACTGAATTAAAAAATTTATCAAATTTAATTATTATGAATTAAATTATAACTACGATCTGAAATGTCCAACGATGCATGAATATTGAAGCTTATTGATCACCACCGTTTTAATAACCTTTTGATCTGTACAAAGTATCATTTAACAGCTACATGTATTTTTAGATTTGTTTTAAACTTGGCTGATTAATAATAATAATAATTAAATCTCGCTACGATATGAATGGAATTTTAAAATGTTTTAGTTATGCAATACTTCGTTCGAATATTTTCGTGAGCAACTGCACATGCGCAAATTTTAAATATTTAAAAAAGACACATGAATTTTAAGCACTTTACGGATACTGGCTTGTTCATTATTAGCTAGCATTCTGAAAAAATGAAAATGTTTCTTATATTGTTATTATATATATCTATTTATTATATATCTATAGGTAAGACAACGATTTATTTATATATTCTTTTGAATAAATGTAAAGAACATTATCAGCATTTTATAAATGATCCAATTTTGACCAACAAATTAATTAACAAATTAATCCATAAAAGGTTCAATGCCCTTTGTCTTCTGTTTTAGTAAATGTGAAATTTCACAAGTGACTGTTTAAGCTACGTAGAAAGAAATGAAAATAATTAAGTCAGATAGACTTTTATAGCAAAATACAGTTTGCTATTAAATGAAAGATTTCCATAAATGTGATAGGAAACAAATGTCACATTCCTGTAGAAGAAATATACGATTAATATGATACCTTGACACTCGATGTGAACCGTAACAGGCCATTTAGCTATTGCTTCATTTGAAAATACTCTGTCGTATTTCACTATTTTATAACTATTTCTGAATGCGGTATCCAGGTTTATATCTTTCTCTAACAAGAGCAAGCTTTTTACAAGGTATTAAATCATCGCGGAACGTCGTCAAAATATAATTTGTATCTTGGTTTACTTTAGAATATAACAAAATGGACTCTGCGAATTTGACACAACACATTTGCAGGTCATAATAAAACGCACGTCGCATAAAATTACCAATTATTAGCAGATGATGAACCGGGGCATAAAATCTAATTTCGCTTTTAAATTTACTTTTCCCTTTAATAGTATGAAGTAGAGAAAGTAAGTTAAAAAAAAAAAGCTTTCAACGGATCAGAAACGGGAGCCTGTAATACGAAACTTCCGAAGTAAATTATAAAGAATATAAGAATCATTTAACATATATTGATATTGTAATTAATATTTCTTACGAAAATTATCTGTTCAAGGATGAAAAATTTGAAACTAAATACATAAACTCACAAATGTCAGCTTGGACACATTTTATATCGTGGAATAACTTGTGAACTAACAATTTGAAATAATGGATAATTATTTCGATCAATCTAATATTTTATTTTAAAATACTAATATTTTAGAAATACTATTACTATTAGAAATATTATACTATTACTAGTACTAGAAGTACTATCTAAAATACCATTTTAGGAATAGTTTTTCTTGAATATTTTTAATATTAATGAATTTAATTCTATTAATGAATCTAGCGCAGGCAAGCTACGTAACTAATTGTAAGGTGTAGTAACTTGAAATATTGTAATATACGTACGTATGAAAAAATTATAAAGATTGTTGAACAAATATTAATGTCTTTTGTAAATCACTAAAGTCTTTAAATAAATAACGACTTTAAATAAATAAATAAAGCATCTTCATTTAGCGTGAAATTTGAATAAATTTCCAAATACATTCATCCTTAAATTAATTCAATTATTCAAATAAAATAACAAATAATTTAAGCAATAAAAAAATTTAGTCAAATACAAAATAGTGAAATGAAGTAAGAAGTAATTTTGTTTGATAGCTAAATACTGAGATAGTTTTTTAGATTTAGAGATCGCCTTTGTGAAAAAATAAATCTTCAAATAACATCTAACTAAGTGGGATAATAAATAATTCAATTCACCATTTTTATATTGTTTAAATAACGCTCAAGTCCGTGTAACGTACAGTAGAAACTTTTAAGTAGAGAAATAGAGAAATAGAGAAACATTTAAGTAGAGAAATAGAGAAGCATTTAAGTAGAGAAATAGAGAAACATTTAAGTAGAGAAATAGAGAAATAGAGAAACATTTAAGTAGAGAAATAGAGAAATTTTTAAGTAGAGATAGTATGATGTATTATTATATATGTATTATATATATTAGGTTTTTATATATATTATATAGGTTATTATATATATTAGGTATAGAAGAAAGAGAGAAGGGGACGAAATAAATACCACGTTTCAGACCGGTAAGCAGAGAACTTTACATAAAGAACGAGAGAGCTGCTATTTTTAAATGTAAATGAATAACGTAAATCAAAGCGACCTCCATTCAAAACGGAAATAGAAATAATAATAAACACCTAATAAAAGAAGCAGTGGGATGTAACAGAAAACCGAAAGGAGAAGAAAGGAATATTTCAGTAAAATGATTAACAAACTTCATGGTATAAATAAAAGAATTATACAGAGCCAGTCACAGAAGCCTGTGTATATTTGATAAATTTCAAATATTTAAAAGAAAAGAAGTAGTAGGTGCGTTTTATGGAATTAATCTGTTAGGTAAAATTAGATCGATTCTAAAATATTGACAGTGTACCTTACAGTTGTTCAGACGAGCATATAAATAAATCGAAAATTTGTGTATATACAATTTCCATACGTACAGAATAACATTTATTCTGATAATAACAACAATAATGCTTTATGATATGAACACGTTTTAATTGTATCCATAAACTTCGTGAGTTTCTGTTCCAATTTAGTTACGATTTTACGATATAAACTGCATATTTTCTACAATTTTTTCTACGAGTTAATTATTTTATATAATACAAATACATAATATTATATCGTTTTATAAAGCTTAATTTTAAGACGCCAATAATAGCTCGATAAATTGTCTTCTATCGTTAATTTCAACTATATTAAAATAAAAGGAATTTAATTTTTGTAATTCATAAGTTGTGAAGTTTCAAGTCCTCCTGAACTCTAAAATTGACCATTTTTACAAATCTGGGATACCGAAACAAAATAGCCATTAAAAAAATAATATCATATATCGAATAATATGAAAATCACTTTGATTAACTAAATTTATTAGATTTAGCAGATTTATTACATTTACTAAATTTATTAGATTTACTAGATTTATTAGAATTATCTAGTTTTTTAATACAAAAACATTCTAAATTATAAATCATTACAATTGAAATAAATAGATCTATATTTTTTGAATAAAAATCAATACTATAATACTATAATATCTATATAAATCTATATCTCAATACTATAATATTATGATATCAATGCTATATAAATTTATAATATCTCAATACTATAATACTATAATATCAATGCTATATAAATTTATAATATCTCAATACTATAATACTATAATATTATAATACTATAATATCAATGTAAATATATAATTTCAATACTATAATATCAATGCTATATAAATCTATAATATCTCAATACTATAATACTACAATATCAATACTATATAAATAAAATCAATACTAATCTGACTACAGAAACATCTGAATTTCTTCGCCAATTGTAAGAAAAGAAATCCGTCGTATCGACTAGTATTAAACCTTATGACCCTTGACCCAAAGAAATCACGTGCAATTAAAGTACGATTACATGAAACGAAATTTGACGCGCACTAACCCGATACATAATACGATCTACCTACGTACATCAAGTAACTATTTCACACGTACAATTAAGATAGAAACGATAGAATAGAATGTCCGTAATCTCATTTGAAAACGTATTCACCTATTCACAAACGTGTACCATTGAGGGTTCCAAGGAAATAAAACGTAGGTCTTAAATAATTTAAAGCAGAAGGCACATGCGCGACGTGGATCGAATCGAATCTCCTGGAAGCGAATCATAAATCGAGCGCGATAGGACGAGACGAGAAAAAAAAGGGGGGGGGGGGGCGAAGGGAAAAGAAAAAGAACGTGTCGCGCGAAAGAGAGCAAACGA